AATAAAAATGATGAAAGTCTCCCCACAACGGCTAATTCATGATTTTGTCAGTTACGTTGGCTCCGATATTATCAGCGTCAATTTTGATGACTCTGTAGTGTGGGACCCACAAAAGGACTAATTACTCGTATTTAATCACTTTGTTAAACAAAAGTGAGCCACTGTGGTTTTCTTTGTGTTACAATTTGATTTAGAATGGATCAAGTTCCTTGCACGATGATGATGTTACGGAAACCCGGTCTTGTTCGAGCCGGTGATAAACCGGTTTGGTTCTCATGTACAGAAACAGACTTGAGATGAGGCCAAGTAGAGACAAGAAACCCCAAAACAGAAACGTTTTGAAGTAGCAATCTCTTCCGATGCAAACGACTGAGTCTGACACGACCGGTCTTATCTCTGGGCTTGCGTTGGCTTCGTAGATGGAGGCAGCGATGAAACCGTATAAGAGCGAGCCGATTGGTATGTTTGTTATGAGAATGTTGTGGTTAACACCTACGCTATTTGGTCCAAAGAGATCAGATGTTATGGAGACTGCAGCTGCAAATATGAAACCCGAGCTGAGTCCGATTAAGGCGGTTGAGGTCTGCAATGCGGTTACTTGTGAGGTTGATACAGCCAGTAAAAAGAAAGCGATTGGGGTTGGCAAGAGTGCGATTGCAAACCATCCGGTTCTTGTCAGATGTAATCTCCTGCAAGATGCAATATTTCTAAATGAGTTTTGATCCCAGTTTCACATTAGACGTTCCCTAATCTCTCAAAAATGAAACTTACTTGTGCATAAAATCTGGTGCGGCAGAGAGCAATCTACCAAAGAAAGAGAACGAAGAGTAGATTGTGACGAGGGTTGTAGAGCTTTGTCCCAAAGACTGAGCAATCTGACCCAAATTGTTGCTATAAACAAGACCAATTGTGCCACCGCAGAAATACGCGACGTAGTATAACCAGAACTCCAACCTACTTATAAGCAATCGAAACGAGTGTTCATCACCGAGTCTTACTACATTCCCATCCTTCACATTCTTCTGATTCCCAGTACCCGAATGTTCATACCCGGCTTTGTTGGTCTTGAGCTCATCTATGTTAAGCATAACATAGCCAGAGCTGTCATGGTTGAAACGAATGTTAATGGCAGGAAGAAAGTAATCCCGAGCATAAACGAGAAGAGGAGCACACAAGGGGAAAACCAAAAGAAAGACAGCTCCAAGAAAATGCAAACGAGCTGATGCAACCACATGAGCACTCGAACTGGATAGGAGAAGGTGGAAACTGGTGATGACGGCTAAGACATTCATAATGGCAAACACATGAGAGTCATGTCGTCGTGATTCATTGTCCGGCACAGGGTCCATAGACGGTTTAGTAAGAACTGGGAAAAGAGCAGCGAAAGAAACGATGAGGGGAACAAGGGAATTCAACAGAAGGTATAGATTTGAAGACGACGGGTTAATCGCATTGAAAGCAAGGGAGTATAAGGCTGCACTGATTCCATTGAAGCTTACCGTTAAAGATAAAGCGAGTGCACGATTCGTCGGGAAATGACCAATGCAGAGAATGAAACATGCTGTGTTGAACCAACATATACTCAATCCAGCCAACAAGCAACAAAGAAACACCTACCATGTCAAAAAGATTTTGATCAATTCTACATTCAATTCAATCTCTATTGATCTACAAGAACTGAAGCAACATCTTAGTGATTCTTCCTTATATCGATTAACAAGAACTTCGTATGAATCTTTCGAATTCAGGGAAAGAGTATATAAGTACCAGAGAATAAGGTAAAGTGATGATATTGGTGATGACGAGCCACTGAACACCATAGCCGACAAATCCCATAGTCGCCGCCGCGAAAAGAACGACGGAGAGAGGGAAATAACCTAAAGCGATTCCCGACGACCAACCAAATGCTTTTCCCAAATCAGAAGCCACGGCGAGGTAATTCAATCTCACCTGAGAAATTCCGAGTACTGATTTAAGATGAGAAGAGTATGCAGAGAAATCGAAATTTGTCCCCGTCGATGCTTGGATCCAGATCGCCGCCACGAGAACCATCCATTTCCGCCATCGACTGAGCATGGCTTTGAGAGGCGGAGGGTGTTTCCGGTGAAACTTTCCTTCGCCGTCGCCGTCGTCGAAGGAGGTTCGGTTTGATCGGAGTTTCTCTGAAGCATCTCTGATTCGAGGTCTCATATACAAAGAAGATGATAATGGGAATGGTGTGGTGATGTTGACCGATGGAAAAAAAGCGTTTGAAGTTTGTTGATCTACTGCGTTTGATCTTTATGAAGAAAGGGCTTTTGGGGTTTTTGTTAAAAAAAAAAAAAATTATATATATAGTCACATACTCAAATGTAGTAGTAGTATTTGACAAAAAAATTAAAATGTAGTATTTATTAATATTCGTCTACAAAAAAAAAATCTAGAAAAAGTCCATACTATAAAAATATATGGTGAATTTTAAAAGAGGAATTTTGTAAAAATAATCTTAAAACTTTTTTTTTTGTTTTGAAAACTAACCCTTTTTTCGAAATCTTTGAAAAATAACATTTTTCATACTTATAACTACGAAAATATCCAAATCAAAATCCATATTTTATTAGTAAAAAAAACAAAAATAAATATCGCATCGTTCTTAACAATGATATTATAAAATTGTGAAAACTATATCAAACTTACATAATCAATCAAAACTAATAAACTACAACTTACTTTTAAATTGTGATGAACTACNANAAAAAAAAAGTGATGAACTAACCGAATTAAAAACTAGGTACTGTATAGCAAAGTGTATTTTTTTTTCATATATGTAGGTACGGTGATGATCCATATATATATAGAATGAGTTGAATGATGATAATGTTAAGTTTGTAAAATACG